AGGGAAATATTCTCCCTCACAACAGATACATAGTAAGGAAAGACGATCTGAAGAATCTAATACTCATAGGGCAACCTGAATGCAAAAAGAGAAGCCGGGAAAACAACGAATAATCTACTTAACGAATTTTTATTAATGGATAGCAGAAAAAGTATAAAGAAGGATAGTATAACCAGGCAAGTATCATACCAATACGGCCGCGTGCTGCTACTGAAATATTCAGGTAAAATTAGCATTGAAATATAAACTCAATTTCTTTTTGACATTTGTAGGCTTATCAAAATTATTTATACGTTACAATAATTAAAACTGTCTAGATTTCTGGGATCATTATTTATAGTTATTGTCCTCATCCTTGACAATATCCCTAAACATTGGTTGAGGGACGAGAACAGTCTGCTCTGTAGATTAAATAAAGGGTTCACTTCAGAATTTCCTGTAGGTTACTCAGATCGATATACTCCTGATGAGGACCGGAGGGTATAACGGTTGAAACGATAATAGTCCGAATATAATTAGTATAAATAATCATTAAAACAACGAAAATTAAATTTAATATTCTTTTTAATTTTTATTACATTTTAAACTACATTTTTAAAGTTCAAAATTTATCACTTGTTTTTAAATTTTTATACGAAGATTTAAAAAGTTTTTTTTTCTTATTTTTTTCTTAAATAATATTGTTGTGTTTAAAAACTATTCCCGCTTGAATTACTTTTTCAGCTAAATGTAAAACTTTCTGTATTATCATTATATTTGAAAAAGGCGGCCATTTTATATATAACAACAATCGTCTGGAGACTTTGAACTATAAGCGTCAAAACTGTTCTCATCAAACGATTAATCTTGACGTCATCTAAACATTTGGTTGGCTGTTGTCAATACAACAACCATTTTGGTTTAGCTTCCAATTTCAACTTTCTTTATAACATTAGGCATTGTTGGCTTTCTTTCTTTTCTTTTTTGATAAGGACGGTTCGTGTTTCAGTTTTTTTTTAAGCTTTGGAGATGTAGAGTTTGTTTTGGGACTTTCGATTTCATTTTTCTTGGTGGATTATTTTTTGTCTCTGTCTCTTCTCTCTGTCTTTCTTTCTCTCTTTCTCTCTCTTTCTCTCACTCTCTCTCATTTTCTATCTCTCTCTCACTTTCTCCCTTTCTCTCAATTTCTCTCTCTCTTTCTTTCTTTTTTTCTTTCTTTCTTTCTTTCTTATTCTCTCTCTTTCTCTCTCACTTTCTCTCTTTCTCTCTCTCTTTCTCTCTCTCCCTCAATTTCTCTCTCTTTCTCTCTCACTGTCTGTCTCTTTCTTTCTTTCTTTCTTTCTTTCTTTCTTTCTTTCTTTCTTTCTGTCTTTATATCTCTCTTTCTCTTTCACGTTCTCTCTCTATATTTCTTTCTCACTTTCTCTCTCTCTTTTCTCTCTCTCTCTCTCTTTCTCTCTTTCTCTTTCTTTTCCTTTTTTTCTCTCAATTACTCTCTCTCTCTTTCTCGCACTATTCAACTTTGATTGATCGTCAACACACTCCATGGCCGAGACGTTTCCAAGCACGCCGGACCTAATAACGGTTTCTCCTGCCAACGGGGATTCGCCGGTTCGAATCCTGCTAGAAAGCACGCACACTTTTCTTTTAATTTTTCAAATATTCAGGCCGGTTTGGTTTGTTTTGGTTTACGGCATATCAACCTCAATGGGTTATTTAATGCCGACAAGATTTTTATCGCTGGTAATATTTTTTTCCCAAAAATGTATTGCTGCTAAGATTTTTTCCCTCAATAATATTGCTTGTAATATTTCTTAATCTAAAAGTGTATTGCTGCTAAGACTTTTTTTCTTCACAAATTCATTTCTGGTTATATTTTGCAAAAATGTATTTCTGGTATTTAAACCTATTTTCACACTTTCAGAGTGTTTTCACTCCAGTTTAGGGGGTTAAATATTTGCCCATAGCTGGGACCCTAACAGGTGCTACCATCCCTGGTTAGAGAGGACCAGGGAACAGCAACAATTAAGAGGTGGTTCCACGCTCCTCAAATCTTCCTGATCAGAGGCCTTGCTGTTGGATGTAGTTTATCGCCTTACTCAGGACGCGGATATAGTTTGTCGTCATACCCAGGACGGTATTCAGGCCGGTAGACGAAAATAAAATAATTTGCAGGAGAAACCGGCGTCTGATTCAGCGTGCTTTGACCGCTCGGCTACGAAGAACTTCACGATTAAGTCAGGTTCTGTTTTCTTTTAGAGGACGTTCGCTCGTTCAGACTTCCTTGAAAGCCCGCATCTTTTCAGTTTCGTATCCAAAACGTAAACAAAGTCATTTTTAAAGAATTAATGGATTTTTTAAAAAAAATCCGGCTTATTTATCGGATTAAAAAAAAATGAAATCCATTATTTCTTTAGAAATATGTCTGTATGTATCTACTTATTGAAGTCTGGTGTGTGAGACTTTTCGAAATTGTTGGCTTTTATGATTATGGAAGATTAGAATAAAAGAAAATGTCTCTTCCTGAAATGAGCCAAAAGTGGAAAGATCAAAATATATATATATATATATATATATATATATATATATATATATATATATATATATATATATATATATATATATATATAGGTGTGTCTGTGTGAGTTTTGATCTTTTCATTTTTCATATATATATATATATATATATATATTCTAGTAGAGGATTGGTGTATACGGAATAAATTGAATAACCAACAAATACTACAAATCAATAACCAAACAAATACTATTCTTGAAAGCGTAGAGCAAATATATTATTTATTCGAAAATTATAATATAAATTTGTTATAAAATCACTACAAAAATAGTCATTTTGTTTCAACACTTCTGGTGTCTTACTGAATTCAACACCGTCACTTGATAAGACACCAGAAGTGTTGAAACAAAATGGCTATTTTTGTAGTGATTTTATAACATATTTATATTATAATTTTCGAATAAATAATATATATATATATATATATATATATATATATATATATATATATATATATATATATATGTATTTAGCAAATCCTAACAAGGTGCTTTTATTTAGTTCTTTTTATCCGAGCGCTTTCGGCTATACATATATAGTATTGTTGACAACGCTAATATTAGGTTGTCCCAAAAATTCGTAAACACTTGCGAAAAATTGAATTTTTATGCAATTTTTAATTGTTTTTTTTTACTTTATTGTTAATTTTGATAATTTTGAAAAAATTTTATTTCATTAAAATGTTTATTTAATTGTTTTTTGCGTTTATATTGTTATAGTGATCTTCATCTTTGTATTCCAGATGGAAATTGATAAAAATGAGCTGCGAGTTTTGCTTCGTTATTGTTGAAACGAGGTCTTTGAACCAGAAAAGCTGCAGACGAGATTTGTGCTGCCGAAGGTGAAGGAACAATTGCATATGCGGCGATCTCAAAGTGGTATAAGCGTTTCGATTCTGGCGACATGAGTCTTCAAGATAAGCCTCGTTCGGGACGGCCGTTAAATTTGGATGATGGAGACTTGCAAATCGGGTTGGACATTGCGCCTTCATCGAGCACTCGAGAATTGGCTGATGAGCTTGGAGTTGGCAAATCGACAATTCACCGACACTTGAAGCAACTTGATTTTGTTCACAAAAAGCCGCGCCAAGATCCGCACGAACTCACCGAAGCACAAGCCAACAGACGAGTTGAAATTTGCCGTCAATTGCTCAGCAATCCATTGGACGTGTGTTTTTGGAAGCGCATTGTGACATCGGACGAGAAATGGGTCTATCTGGTCCAGCACAATCGAGACAAGCGATGGGTTCAGAAAGGGCAAGAGACACAGTCGGTTCCAAAACAAGATCGATTCGGAAAGAAAGTCATGTTGTGCGTTTGGTGGAACTTTAAGGAATCGTGCATTTTGAGTTGGTTCCGAATGGTCGTGCCATCAGTGCCGAACTTTACTGTGTGCAACTGGAGTGGGTCTACGAAAAGTTGAAGCAAAAGTACCCGGCTCTGATCAACCGAAAGTGCGCTTTGATGCAGCAGGACAATGCCAAGCCACACACCGCTAGGAAGACCAAAGACAAGTTTGAAGAGCTGGACGGCGTTGAGGTTCTGCCACATCCAGCCTACAGTCCTGACTGTGCTCCATCAGATTACGGCCTTTTCCGCTCAATGCAACACTTTCTGAAGGACCGCCGATTCGACTCGTTTGATGAAGTCAAGGAAGCGTGTCAAGAATTCTTTGATTCGAAGCCGGCTGCATGGTACTTTCACCAGATTCGAAAGCTTGCAGATCGATGGCAGAAAGTCTTGGAAAATTATGGTCTTTATTTTGAGGAATAATTTTTGTTGTTTTTGTTATTACGAATAAAATTTCAGTTTTTTGCAAATGTTTATTAAATTTTGGGACAACCTAATATAATAGCATCATCTAGATGCAAAAAAGGCTAAAAAAGCCTTATTAATAAAAAGAAAAAAACAACATTCAATAATATCAACTCTGAACACGGACACAATATCTTGACCGTGTTTTGAAAAATGAAAACATTATATAAATACATACATGAAACAAACTATTTCTTATTTAACAGTTAAAATATTTCATCCTTAAAAATGGCTAAATGTATAGCCGAAAGCGCTTGTAATAAAAGAACATTCGTACAGTTTTTATATATTTTTCATCTGAAAAAAAAATTATTAGATCGCATGAGAAATTGTAAAAAAAGCTAAATAAAAGCACCTTGTCTGTCGTATTCAATGAAATTTGCATATATATATATATATGTGTGTGTGTGTGTGTGTGTGTGTGTGTGTGTGTGTGTGTGTGAATGTATGAGTAGAAGTAACAAGAACATTGCTTATAGAACAGATGTCACATGAAGATGTTCAATCAGGAAGAAGATTATTTTTCGGCTTTCGGCTTTTCTGACTTCACAGTTAATGACATTTCCGAGCCCAGTTCGAAAAAGAATCATTTTTATTTTAGGAATATGAAATGAATAAAGAAAATGGAAGTTATTTTTTCAGTGGAGAGCAAATCCGAAATGTACACCTCCAGCAATAGGATCTTTCTCTTGACGAAGCTAAGAAATACGAAACAAAGTAAATAGATAGATAGATAGATAGATAGATAGATAGATAGATAGATACGAACAAATGATTTGAACAGGCTGAGATAGATAGATAGATAGATATGAACAAACAGATAGGTAAATAGATGGATATATAGATATGAACAAACAGATATGAAAAGAATAAGATAGATATAAACAAAGCGATATGAACAGAATGAGATAGATAGATAGATAGATAGATATAGATAGATAGATAGATAGATAGATAGATATGAACAGATAGGTAGATAGATGGATAGATAGAGAGATAGATATGAACAAAGAGATATGAAAAGAATGAGATAAATAAATACATAGATAATGAACAAACAGATAGGTAGATAGATGGATAGATAGATATGAACAAAGAGATATGAACAAAGAGATATGAACAGACTAAGATATGAACAGCCTGAGACTGATAGATAGATAGATAGATAGATAGATAGGAACAAAGTGATATGAACAGACTAAGATATGAACAGCCTGAGATAGATAGATAGATAGATAGAACAAAGATAGAAATGAACAGAGATATAAGGATATAGAACAGACAGACATAGATAGATAGATAGATAGATAGATAGATAGATAGATAGATAGATAGATGGGGGTGGGCTTTACTTTCTGATAGTCTGGCATGAAGTATTATCATTTCATGTATTTTCTAGTCTAATATCCTCATCCTTTTTATCACTATGTTTCTATTGATCTGCTATTCAGTTTTTCCATCGCGGTTTCCGCTAACAAATTAACTGATGCCTGCTGGCCGGGTTCCATCTTCTAGGCAACACACCAAGCCATTGTACTAGAAAGCACAAGGTCAGTGGTACACGCTGCTGTCTGTTTCATATGAAAGTTCAGCTAATATCTGTGTCAGACTGTGGACTTATTGACCCACCTTCATGTTCTTCGGGATCACTTTTTTTCCTTTTAGCACATTTTTTGGTGTTTATGTTTAGAGATTGAGGACAAGTTGATGCTTTTTATATCAAGCGACTGAAAGAATTTCACGACTCTTCCTCCTCCTCCACATTCTTTTTAAGTGAAATCTTTGGAAATGCGATATTGTTGAACAATGTAGCGGCCTAAGATATATATCTTCAGGAAAACTGAAGGCTCATGAAGTTACAAAGAATTCCCTCAAGTACGTTCTGGGACTGCACTTTACAAAAACAACAAATATATATATATATATATATATATATATATATATATATATATATATATATATATATAAAAAGCTTAAAATCGGTTCCTACGAAGGCCGACCGATTGTGAGAGTATGAAGATTTTTCTATATACGTCTGAGTGACTGTTTATGGTAAACAAATGATTCATTATGTTTTATGACAAGATATTTTATGTACTATCACTAAATGTTTTATGTTTTACGACGGGATTTTTTCATGTTTTATGACGCAAAAGTTTTATGTTTTATGACGGTTATATTTAAGCTTTTAATATTTTATAAGTACAATGCAACTACAGTCTATCGACTAAAATCTACTAAAATTATTAAATAATAAACAGAATAAAATAGAGCGTTTTATTTGTCAAGTTCAAAATTAAATAAAACTGCATTTTTTTATACATACAAACATATATATATATATATATATATATATATATATATGTACCTAGTGAGTCACTCAAACCTACCTAGGTTTCACCTAAACTGATCGTCAGGGAAATCTGGTAGGTCTGCTCTACGGTTGTATTGAGCTCTTTTGTTAGTTGTTTACTCGTATCGGTTTTTTTTCTTTGGGCTTCAAACCTGCATCTGTGCGATTTTTTTCGACAGACTTTCATGTTTCTCGCTCTTTCTATTTTTAAAACCTTTTTTTCCCTCGAGATTGATTTGATTATTGGCAAATCAAAAATTCGAGGGTTTTTTCGCATCTATATTTGTGTATATATATATATATATATATATATATATATATATATATATATATATATATATATATATATATTGTGTATATTTAGGCAGCAATTTTTTATTAATGCGTGTTTTATTAAATAATATAGACAAGTTTTGTCTCTTTATTTTAAGTAAGTTCCTTTCATATTGTTTGATAAGCTTACTAACATTATCATTGAACAAACTCGCTTTCACGACGCTTAACTCTATATTTGAATGATAACTCTTACATTTTTAGGCATTTAAAGCAACATGCCTGCCCGCGTACACAATTCCGGAAAATGCAACTATACTTAAACATGAGAACAACAAACAAAACTAAAAATTCTTGAAGCTCTATACATAAAACAGTTGAAACCTAACCTGAACAAAATAAACTACGAAATTTCCACAAATATTCTTAAATGCCTATAATTGATAACAGAAGCCATTGGTTTATACCAACGGTTTCCCATACTTAATACTTCTCGTTTTCACTCATGCGTAGACATGTTTGACGTCATGAGCTGCGGTGCGATTTTCGATTCCGCGTCTCGTATATACGAGTTAGTCGTTGCTTTGAAATTTTTCATGCAACAAAAACAGACTATCATTATTGTTTCGTCCGTGTATTGGTTGATATATTGAAAAGTAATTGTCATCTTTGATAATGACTTATGTAAGTCAAAAACTTAGATTGGATTTGAACATGTATCAATATGGTGATTTTCTTTTCGTATCTCGATGATAATGTTATTAAGCTTATCAGATAATATGAAAGGAACTTAAAATAAATAGACAAAACTTGTGTATATTATTTAATGAAACATGCATTAATATATATATATATATATATATATATATATATATATATATATATATATATATATATATATATATTGTTATTTATACGAACACAAATACTGAAGTAAATGCTCTGTTTATAATAAACAGTATTAACATCATTTACCTGCCTGAATGTCCGAAAAATTTTAATAGAAATGCGACAGGAATCAAACCTGTATCCTACATGGAACCGTCATATAGCCTGACGTACTATACCATTTAGCTACGGAGGAGGCGTCTGGTTAGCAAAAGGTTAAATTAGTGTTTTTAAACTTCAAATTTCCCACGATTTCTCTCGAACGCTCATATCTGCTCGAAGCGTATCTTAATGCAAACAAATTACATCATATATTATGAAATGGACTAAGTTCGAACATTATTTTAATATATTTTCTGTTTATATGTTATTTTTATAGATACAAATATTTAAGTAAATGCTCTGTTTATAATAAATCGTATTAACAGCATTTACCGGCCCGAATGTCCGAGAAATCTTCATAGAAAATATGCGTCCCCCGACAGGAATTGAACCTGTATCCTACACGCAACCATCATATAGCCTGACGTGCCATAACAGTTTAGCTACGAAATCTAGTTGATCATTTCGATTTACTGCTTTTAAACTACATGGAAGATTTGTAGTTTAAAAGCAGTAAATCCACCTTGCTAACCAGACACTTCTTTCGTAGCTAAACTGCTGCAGGCATCCCTATAGAGGAGTTCGAACTTGCGGTTGAAAACCGAGCAAACGGGAGAAACACCTGCTTCCGAGGTAGAACTGACTTTAAAAAGAATTGTCTCAATCATCAGAAAGAATTAAGGATTAACACGAAATCTCAGCCCATATGACGGTCGTCCCTTCAGTATGCCCTTTGTGGGAATTTGTTTGCAAATCCCGTGCAGGACTGATGTCTCATACGAAACATGAACATAAAAAAGGACATTCATACGTCGAAAACGACAGGAGAGTCCATCACATATATATACATACATACATACACAAATTTCTCTCTCTCTCTCTCTCTCTCTCTCTATCTATCTATCTATCTATCTATATATATATATATATATATATATATATATTATATTTATCTGATGCATTATTACATTAGAACATGCACATATCCACTACAAAATTGTACATTTTCGTTTCACGTCAAAAAAGGGGAAAAAATGGTAACACCAAAATTCTACATCTGATGAGACGTCTAAAAAGGGTTTCCACTTTTTTGACGTTGAAACAAAAATGTACAATTTTGTAGTGGATATGTGCATGTTCTAATGTAACACTGCATAAGATAAATATTTACGGCTCTATTTATATACCGAGCACTATTTTTAAATTAATGTTCTGAACGTTGTAATCTTACCGTTCATTCTCCTACAATTTGATATATATATATATATATATATATATATATATATATATATATATATATATATATATATATGTTGAAACTTGACTAATGCATGGAATAATAATGCAACACAAAAATGTACTTAGAACAAAATGTATTGAAATAAGAAAGTGTACACAATATTTACATATAGTCTTTTGTATATTCCTGGGAATACCGTTCCTGGAGAATCTGTTGAATTAGTCGCAGTCGGGCAGAGTCTCTGGATTGAATCTCTTGATTCCTCCCCTCTCTCTTCCCGGTACCAACCATATTTATATGATCGGTACTCCACTATGCAAATTAGGTGGATCCTACCACAACAATATATATATATATATATATATATATATATATATATATATATATATATATATGATAATAAGATGACGGAAACTTTAATTATCCATTTCGATTATAATTTATTTCGTGAACACCGAGGTATTGAACTCTTCATACCGAAATCTCCTCCGTAAATAAAGAAAACACACCGGACAGACGCGTTAGGTTGGCAGTGGAGAGGTAATGTGAGAGAGGAGGGATGAGTAAAAAAAAATGGCTAAGGGATTAGTGGTTGGTAGTAGTCGGTTCACCCAGCCAAGAATTTATTTAAGATTTTTATGTTGTGTTGTATTTTCCATTGACCGATACGGTTTGTTGATTTAGGAGCAGGACAAACCAGGTCGATTCAAGTTAATTTAATGAAAGAGATCTTAATTCAAATAAAGGTTGGTATTAATATACTAATACTTAAGCATCTGTTTTTTTTAGACCAAAGTCTAATAGTCAGTGGAGACATTAAGTTGAAGGGAACGCAAGAGAGTGATATAGAAGGAGTGATAGGTGGTGTGTGAAGGAGGGGATGGACAGAGGTTTGGGGTTGGGGGGGGTGAAGAGGATGAGAAGGGAAAGTAGTAGTTGTTTTAACAGATTGACCGGCCTAGATTTTTCTTAATTTTTGGAACTATGTAAATTAGTTTATGCAGTGGGTTGTATAATTTATTTCGTAAACACCGAGGTGTTCAACTCTTCAGACCGAAATCTCCTATAATTTATTTCATGAACACCGAGATCTCGGAATTATCCTTCCAGTCACAAACATATATATATATATATATATATATATATATAGAATTATATTTTCTTTCTAGAATTCTAGAAAGAAAATTCGGATTGCCAACACACAAACAGAGAATGTCTCATATCGAGAACATTTCACATTGAAGATGAAGAAAAATTAATTTTTTTTTTAATAATATGTAGAAATCTCCACTTTTACCTGAAGACGGTCGCGAGACCAGAAACACGTGTCGTAGTAAAATTATGTAAAACAAAAGCATAATATTTTTCTAAATAAATCCACATTACAACCAAAAAACGTTTGCACCTCTCTTTTTTTAATATACATACTTTTCTCTCGTTGGAACCACTACAACATATCTCTTTTATATATATATATATATATATATATATATATATATATATATATATATATTACACAGAGGGTTA